GATGGCAAGAACCCATTTCCTTTCATGGCTGAGCAATATTCCATTGTATACATGTACCACCTCCTCTTTATATCTATTCTTCCATGGACAGACACCCAGGCTGCCTCCACATCTTGGCCATTGTAAACAATGCTGCAATGAACATATGATGCACACATCCCCTCAAAGTAGCATTTGGGTTTCTTCAGATGATTACCCAGAATTGGGATAACGGGGTACTTCTTTGTCATTTATTATAGCCTTTCTTTTAAAGTTTATTTCATCTGGTATAAGTATTGCTACTCAAGCTATTTTTTTCTTTTTCATTTCATGAAATGTCTTTTTCCCGTACTTTTACTTTCAGTTTGTGTGTCTTTTGACCTGAAGTGAGTCTCTTGTAGGCAGCATGTGTAAGGATCTTGTTTTCTTATCCATCCAGCCACCCTATCTTCTGACTGGAACATTTAATCCATTTAAAGTAACTGTTGCTAGATATATAGTTATTGCCATTTTATTATTCATTATTCAAGATTTTTTATCTTTTTGTTGTTGTTGTTTTTGTTTTAAAGAAGCCCCTCTAAGATTCCTTGTAATACTGGTTTGGTGGTGAGGAACTCCTTTAGCTTTTTCTTTCTTGTCTGGGAAGCTCTTTATCTGTCCTTCTATTCTAAATAATAGCTTTGCTGGGTAGAGTACCCTTGGCTGTAGGTCCTTGCTTTTCATCACTTTGAGTATTTCCTGCCAATCCCTTCTGGCCTGCAAAGTTTCTGTTGAGAAATCAGCTGATAGCTTTATGGGACCTCCCTTGTAGGTAACTAATTGCTTTTCTCTTTTTGTCTTTAACCTTTGGCATTTTAACTATGATGTGTCTTGGTGTGGGCCTCTTTGGATTCATCTTGTTTGAGACTCTATGTGCTTCCTGGGCTTGTATATGTATTTCCTCTGCCAGATTAGGAAATTTTTCAGTCATTATTTCTTCAAATAGGTTTTCAATTCCTTACTCTGTCTCTTCTCCTTCTAGTATCCCTATTATGGGAGTGTTGGTATGCTTGATGTTATCCCAGAGGCCCCTTAAACTCACCTCATTCCTTTGGATTCTTTTTTCTTTTTGCTGTTCTGACTGGGTGTTTTCTGCTACCTTATCTTCTAAATCGCTGATTCAGCCCTCTGCTTCATCTAATCTACTGCTGATTCCCTCTAATGTATTCTTCATTTCAATTATTGCAGTTTTTATTTCTTACTGGTTCTTTTTTATGTTTTTTTTTAATCTCCATTTTTATGTTTCTTATCTCTTTGCTGAAGTTCTCCCTGAGATCGCTAAGCATCTTTATAACCAGTATTTGGAATCTGCATCTGGTAGACTGCTTGTCTCCATTTTATTTAGTTCTTTTTCTGGAGCTTTGTTCTGTTCTTTTATTTGGGAAATGTTTCTTTGTCTCTCCATTTTGGCTGCCTCCCTGAATTTGTTTCTATGTAGGGCTGCTATGTCTCCCAGTCTTAGCAGAGTGTCTTATGCAGTAGGTGTCCTGTGGGACTCAGTGGTGCAGACTCCTTGGTCACCAGAGTCGGGTGTTCCAGGAGTGTCTCTTGTGTGGGTTATATGTGCCCTCCTGTTGCAGTTGAGACTTGATTGCTATTTGCACATCAATGGAAGAGACTGACCCTCAGTCTGATTGGCTATGAGGACTGGCTGTGACAACAGTGGAGGAGCTGTTGTGCAGGGGTGACCCTACAGAGCAGGGTTCGCTTTAGCAGGGCTTTGGTAAATGCCCA